GGAGCGGGGCTGGGGCACAAGGTCTGGGGGACACAGGGTGCTCTGGGTTGGGGACGGGAGGGTGGGATGCTCCAGAGCAGCCGGGCCCCTTTGCGGCCCCCGCCATGCAGACCCGTCGTGGCAGGATGTTTTGAGGGAAAGGGGCATCTCTCCGATGTAGATGGGAAACTGCATCTCCCCCAGATGTTCTACTTATCCAGAACTGAACCAGTTCAGAGCCTGGTTGGGGAAGGGCTCCTTCCCACTCACGGACCCCCAGGCTGGGCTCTGTGTCTGAAGGGAGCTGCATCCCACCACCCCGCAGCCATACAGCTCTTGCATAGCAGGTGCTGGGAAAAACAGCTGAGATCTGGCAGCTCAGGAGCTTAGCAGATCAGACTTTATGTAAGGATGATGCACATTCCCCAAAGGCTCTTTTGTGTGTCCCCAAAACCAAACTGAACCTACGCACACACTGGAAGGGATGCTCAGGGTGGGAGAGCACCAGTAGGACGTGAGTGCTGGTGAAACCCATGCCCCACTAAGGGAGTGGTTGGCAGAGGTTTGGGCTGTGGAGCGGGTTTTGTTTCAAAATCTACTGTGATTACATTAAACAACTCACGAGTGTCTTTAAAAGCTCAACAACTAAGTATTTTATGTGGGCTTGGAAGGCTTCGCTGCTTGCTCCGTTATCTTTTTGATCCCTTCAGAGCAGAGAAATCTCTGGCGATGTTTGGCAGCGCAGCCCCGAACACCTCCTGAGTGTGGCATTAGGGACAGCGGTCGCCCCAGGAGCGTTGTGGGGCTCTCAGGGACTCTGCCCTGCGGGGGACATTTTCCATGTTCCCCATCCGCAGGATCAGTCTTTGGTTGCCCTCCCAGAGGGACCTGCCACATCACTTCCCCAGCAATTCTCCCAGTTCTCAGATGGGCAAGGCTCCTTCACACCAAACACTGTCCTCTCATGATTTAGTTCTTGCCATGGCTAGTTTTTCCACCAAAACCTGGCTGTTCACTAAAAAGATTGCCACCAGGGAGTCCTCACCAGCCTTATCTCCAGATTACCCCTCAAGAAGGACACGTTCATGGCTCCTGAGCCATGAAATGAGGGTGATTTTAGCTACCGCGGCCACCTTTGCAGCGATGTGCTTGAAGAGTGCTCCCATAACCTGTTTGTGTGGCTCAGTTTGGGAGCCGCAGCACTCTGCCACCGGCAGCCGGCATCAGGTGAGGAGCGTAGCATCTTTCATCACCCCAGCCAGCTCCTCCGGGAGACACTGGGCTGTTTTCCTGGGACCTGCCTCCTTCTTTTCCTCACCTCCTGATTCACTCTACAACTATTCTCACGTGTGTGGGCTCTCCAGCGCCTTGTAAGCAGCGAGGACATGGTGCTGCCTTTGCATAATGCAGTTAAAAATCAATCAACCACGACACACGAGTCGGCTGGAAACCAGGCTTCATTAGCGCCAGCACAAGAACAATTTGTTTTCTCCATTCCATCCAGAGCTGAGCTGGTTCTGAACTTCAAATGCTTTTGCTTGTCACTGGTGTGTTTGTGCTGACTCAGTACATAACTGAAAAAAAAAATAAAAAAAAAGCTTTAAATGCTTAATGCTAACCATTCTGCTGGCCAGATGAGGACTTCGCGTTTTGCATAACACAGAACAGATTGCACTGTGTTAAGGAACTACTTGCAAAGCACAATAGGATTTATTTTATAATTTTTTTTTTTTTTTCACTTTAAAGGTGGGAAACAGCCCAGGGTCAGTACAGGGTGAGCAGTTCCAGGTGTTGCTGCAGGGGAAACCAGTTCCTCCTCTGGCTCCCAGCCACACGCGCTGCTTGTGCTTCGGCTCAAGTAAAGCCTCATTAATGTGGTCCAGACTGTTGACAGCACAACATAGGGATTTCACACCAGCTACATTTGCTCATTTTTAGTGCATAAATATTTGTTGCAAGCATTGACATTTGATTTTGACACAGTAGGGATTAAGGAGTGGCTCAGAGGTGACAGCACCTTCCCAGTGGTGCCTTTTTTTGTGCAGAGAGAAGAGACCTGTGTGCTCCTTAGGATGTCTTCAAAGGCACCACAAGCACTTGCTAAACAGGAATATGCAGCCTGAACGTCGTGACCCCTTTTACACACAGCGATCCCCGCTCTGCCCACCGACCTCCTCCTGCGTGGATGAGGCTGTCACCATCAGACCTGAAAGTCCTGTTGCACAGAGGTAAAACTAGTTTCCCCGTTTTCAAAAGCAGCGGAAGGAGGAAAACGTTGGCATCCCAGCTGTGGAGGAGTGCTGCCATCAGCAAGGGCCACGCGGGGCTGACGGTGGCACGGAGGTGTAAGAGCCAGTGCAGCCTGCTGGGTGGGCAGGCAAAGAGCCAGGGCCAAATCCAGCCTCAGCATCTGTGCAGACCCACTCGTGCCCCCGTGGTTTACAGCGCCCTTTCAGCAGCGCCGCGCCTGGATCCCGGCTTGCCTGCAAGCCTTGAGAGTTGGCCTAAGGAATTATTTTTACACCTCATTACGTGCAAATAACATGTAGGGAGTTATTTGCATCATACGCCTCCCAGCCTGTCAACAAACACATCAGCTTTCTGGAATTTTTGTTTTATTTGCATCATAGTATTTCTAGATCCAGGATGTTATTCAATCACCAGGTTTCTCCATTTGCCACACGCGGTTCAAAGCCGGTCCTGGGAAGTGAAGCAAAAGGAAGTGGAAGCAGGTGGTGTGGGAGACTCTTCGTCTACAGTCACAGCTCCTCTTCTATAACAAGCACCTTTTCTTTCAGGTCTCTGTATTCAATAAGGGGAGCTGCTCCATGCCTGGTTTTCTCTCAGGCAGAAGCAAGCAGATTGCCACACTGCTCCTTGATGTTTGGTATTCGAGGTCTGCACTGTGCTGACTAGGCATTGGGCAGGGAGCAATCATATAAATTACATGGTATTATTCCTGGGTCCTGAAACTCTGCTGCTTGAGAGCTCAGAGAGGCCCCGACTCTCTCAATAAGGAGGATCAGATGTAAACAGGGTTGGGGAATTAAAGAAAACTTTAATATTTTCCTTTAAAGAAAACTTTAATATTTTCCCTTCTGAGTCATACAGGCTTTGCCTGAGGCATCATCATTCCTAGAGAAATGAGTTGACTGTCACATGGATTGGCAGGACACGGAGCTGCGATGTAATGTTACCTCATTGCTCGTGTAACTGGGCTTATGCCTGAACTCCTAGAAACTGGAGAGTCACAAGGGGAGAGCCCAGATCCGTATCTGGCTCATTTTACTTCTCTTGGGCCAAACATCCTGACAAAGAGGTTGGCAGAACATTATCACTCAGTCTTGGAAGCAAGTCCCACATAAAATGCATGGAGATGTCTTTTTTCATGGGTGGTCACGTACAAGCCACATACCCCTGAGAAGGGAGTACAGTAAAAGCAAGGTCAGAATTGTCCCCAGTATCCAGGGGGAAGCCCTAGGATGGGTGACAAGATCATGGTCTGTGGTGCAGGGTGCTGTAAGTTTGCCTCGATGCTTTGCAATTGTTTCATTGGTGTTTCAAGGGCAGCTGAAGGTCCCCCATCTGTAGAAGATCCCACGGAGGGGCCCAAAGTCAGCACAGCTTGTTCAGCACCATCTAATCCTAGGGTGCGTAAGGGCACGGATAACATAACCAGGGGATGAGAGGAGGAAAAGCCATAAGGAACCCACACTCTGAGGACATGACTCCACCTTTACATTGCAGCCAGCTCCACCACTTCCAAGGGGGTTGGTGTCCACAGGGAGCTGCATCCTAGCAGGCCAGGCCTGGAGGTCATATCCTCCACTTCATCTTCTGGATGGGGAGACCTGATTTCTAATCAGTCGTTACTGCAGGGTCAGACAAAAGTTACCAGCTTCACAAGCTGCTGTGTGTCCACGTGCCTGACGTGGGACGTGTGGCCAGGGGTGACGCCGTGGTGGCCCATCACTGCAGCTCAGGCACTTGCCAGGCTGACCTGCCCCGCTCATTCACCAGCCCGTGTGGCCTTGGCTCTTTGCCCCAGCAAGAAGCGAGTATTTGCCACCTGCCTTATTTCTTCCTTTTTTTACTTTTCCTGTTTAGCTCCCACCCACCTGACACGGATGCCAGCAGGGCTGGCGGGGACCCAGCGCTGCCTTTTCACTTTGCCAAAGAAGGCTGCAAGTGGCGGTGGCGGGCTCTGCAGATGGCAGCGCCTGGTCTGCGGTGATGCCTCTATCCTGCCAGGGTCAGGTCAGGTCCAGGGTCCAGCTTGTCCCACGCATCCCACCTCTTAATGGGTCACAGAAGGGTGCTAGCTGGTGGAGGAGCCCGGCTCCCCTTCACAGGGCACCGACTGGGAGCGACTCTACTGGTGCCACTGGGTTTGTCTGGGTGCAGGGCAAGCTGTGAGGTCCTGCAGCCGAGCATCCGCTCCATGAATGCTCCCTTCCCCAGTGGCCAAGTGCGGCTGGGTGAGTGCTCGCCCCAGCTGCACTGCCCAGGGGGGCTGCAGATCTGTCCCCCCTCTCTGCTCTTGGTGTTGGCTCCTGTACAGATGTTTTTCCACATGAGCTTTTGTGTGTAGGTTCCTCTTCCTCTGCCCTGGTCTTTATTCCTTCAGCTCCAGCGTCTCCACCGCCACCAGCCTGATAATTCAGTGTCATTCTTTGTGAGGACAAAGGAGCTCTTGCAAAGCCAGCGGCTCAAATTCCAGCTCAGAGCTGTGTCTGACCGACCGTGGAGGAGAACAAAGCACTTTGAAGACTCAGAGAGCAACGCAGGGGGCTGCTCAGGGTCTTCCAGAGCCCCCCCTTCCCCACAGCCAGCTGGTGTGAAGTTCTAAACACAGGTACT